TCATAGTGTTTGGTGCAGTTTTAGATACATATAAGAACAATTTATATTCTGACAGCTACATAACTCGGTAATGCATTAAAAAGTCCAATCTGTTCTTTAGATTTGATTAATTGAACAACATAAACAAACTGAACATATTTTATTTTATTACGGTATATACGCTGTTTAGGTTAGCCAAAGACTGTAGGAAATATTTTTTTAGTGCACTATACAATACTGCAGACCTTTAGACAATACTAAAATCAAACTCTTAAAATCTTAAAACAGTTTGAATTAAACTGTTACAGTAAACATGTTAAACATGGAGTTGTGTCAATTTTTCAATGTAAGCACCATTGATTGCAAAGAACCAAATCACAAGTATTTTACAAATACTACTGCACTTTTTAGTTTTTTAGGTGAAAATATAGTTATTAAATAAACAAACTTTGAATATGCATTCCGCTTTGAGAATCTATGATGAGTTACTTTTAATCAACAGAATGTCCGAAAAAGCGCCAAATTGAAAAAAACTATTCACATAACATTTGTTCTTTTGAAATTTGTATAAATCAAAGGCTGCATTTACACTGCCGGGTTAACGTGACTCAATTCCAATTTGTTACACCCATGTGGCACAGAGTGAATACGGTCCATGTACGTGTAAGCAGAAAAAAAAAATCACATGGATTCTGATTTACTCAAATCAGATTAATTCTTTGCTCAAATGTGGAAATCTATCCAATATGAATCTGATCCATGCCCTTGTATCTGCAGTGTAAGCAAATAGATCTGATTACACCTGTCAATGTGAGTCACGTGTCATTAAAAACTATAGAGAATGATGTCAAGTCTGACGCTTTCATTTCAGAACAGACTTCAGCAGAGTCGCAAACCTTAAATCTCATACACAATAACTAAAAAAGCTTTTATATTGTCATGTAGCACAAGTATTTAAGCATGCTAATGAGAGCGAGAGAGCACTTTATACGCCATGTAACTAATATAAACTAATATAAAACTATTGCATCCTGCATAGATCACGCCATGGACATCACATTAAGATGCCTACTGGTTTAAAAAGGCCTAGATTGAAAGATGAAAAAAAGATGGCCAAATGAAAACTTTTCAGTCATAAACTATAGTAAAACAACTTGTCCAAAAGAATTTTAAAAAATGAAACCCTGCAAACAGATGAAATACAGGAACGAAGAAAAGGGCACTCTTTTATTATCAGCTGTCAGTCAGCGCCCACTCTTTTTTCTTAGTCATTGCACCTTTGCTGTGTGCAGTGTAAATGCAGATAATCGGATACGAATCACTTTTAAAAAACAAAAAATAAGATGTAGTCACAAAAGTGGAATTGACTAGCCAGATCTGCAGTGTAAATGCAGCCAAAAAAGCTACAAAAAAATAATTAAATATTAGAAAAGCATACAAACATTATTTCATTCATTCATTTTTCTTTGGCTTAGTCTCTATTTCAGAGGTCGCCACAGCGGATTGAACCGCTAACTATTCCAGTATCTGTTATACGCAATGGATGCCTTTCCAGCCGCAACCCAGTACTGGGAAACACCCATACACACTTATACACTACGGCCAATTTAGTTTATTCAATTCACCTACAACAAATGTCTTTGGACTGAGGGAAACTGGAGTACCCAGAGGAAACACGTGAAGAAGGGGAGAATATGCAAACTCCACACAGAAATGCCAACTGGCCCAGCCAGGACTCGAACCAGCAACCTTTTCGCTGTGAGACAACAGTGCTAACTACTGAGTCACAGTGCCACCTAAAAAAGCATACTTTTTTAACAAAATGTGTTGGTTGTAACAGAAACTAAGTAGTTTTAGTTTCCAAGAAACTAATGAAGTTTCTTAATTTGAAAGTGTGTTTTAATCGAGGATCTCCCTGAACAGGATGTATAATCTGTGTCCAGGAAACAGTCATCACTGCTCAAGTGCAGAGTAAATTGAACGTTGTGGTGTTTGACTACATCGCTCGCCTTTAATGTTTGAGCTCTGTTCATCACAGGTCTGGGATCAGGGTTGCGGAGTGAGTAAATATTTACTCCAGAGCAGTGGGACTCTTTCCGGAAGGTTCCCGGCACTTGCAGGGAATTAAGCAGCCTCTGAACAGAGGGAACACCCTGCTGTTAAACACAGGAGAGACCTCAAGTACACACACAAAGACGGATGTTCAACATACACATGTACTGTAGATGCATGTGGCCACTGCAAAAAAAAAAAAAAGACCATCCCTGACCACTGGACAAAATTAAACCTTAATAAAAACACTGGAATAGCTCAAAATGCAATAAATAATAGCAAATAATGCTAAAGGCTTCGTATGAATGTGTGCAGCATAAAAGGGGAGAGAAAAAAGGTGGTATGACCTCAATATTGCAATCATGATTTTCCAATTGAAACCATAAAGGTCACAAAACTAGAAGCGGGAGATGCAAGGAGCCTGATAAATGAATGAAAAAGGGTGGGAGAAGTGCAGACGGTGGAAAGAAAACAAAGAATTCATTCTCCAAAACTTCCTGAAGCCTGCTTTTAAAATAACACAGGCATAAAACACACAGGGACAAACCGGTGCTATAAAAAGCTATGGCCTAAACTCTGACCATGTCATTGGGTGAACCGATAACCAAGTCTTGCGTGACTGTAAACGGATCTATCTGAGTGGTTTAATGGATTTGCGTCCTCCGCGGCATGAGAATATAATGCAAAATATGCTGCAATCGTGTCCTGCCGACCTGTCTGTACAAGTCTAGGATTTTCCATTGCGTACAAGCATGCACGTTCACCTTAAGTGTCCTTGAGTGTTTCAGAGTGACTTTCACATGGAAGATGCCAACATGTTTTTGAGCAACAACATAAAAGGGAACAGAGCACTATATACTCTTCAAATGGCACTTATGAATGGATCTACACCAGCAACTCAAACCCAGAATGCTGGTGAATAATGCAGGTAGCATTGTCAAGTCTCCTTCTACATGGAGTAAATAAGCTAATCAATAACCAGAACAGCCTCTAGGACTGAGTAACACCTAAAGAGACAAAAGTATACATATATTAAATACAAGCTGTTCTTGTTTGTGCTGTAAGGTGTGTTGTTTTGCATCACACACACACCTATCTGAATATGTACTGTATATTCATGTCAACACAAACACTTATTTATAGATACGAATACTGAGAAAATCGAATTCCATAGAAAGCAAGCCTACAGTTTGGTTGTAGTGCTTAAGGGTGTGTTTGGGTAAACCAGATCAACACTTGGATTATAGCTTCAAGATGAAGTGTGTACTTTCCGCACCATTAGAAGCATTAAAATAATGACTGTTTTCACACCAGTTTCCCAAACACTTTGCCTGACTGCCATTGGACAAATATGTAGTCCTGTCCTAAACTTCCACTATATGCTGAGACAATATTGAAACGGCTACAGTGCTTGCGATATTCTGAGTAACCAAGCTACTAGAAAGAAATTAATACATTTATTAAGTAAAGATTAAAAGTGGCAGTAAATATGTTTATAATATTACAAAAAAAATCTATTCTGACAAAAATATGAAACACCACAGTTGAAATATGAAAATAATTAAAACATTCATTCCCTTTTTGGCTTAGTCTCTTTATTAATCAGGGATCACCACAGCGGAATGACACACCAACTTATCCAACATATGTTTTACGCATTGAATGCCCTTCCAGCCACAACCCAACACTGGGAAACACCCATTCACTCTCACATTCACACACATACAGTACACTACGGCCAATTTAGTTTATTCAATTCACCTATAGCGCATGGCTTTGGACTGTGGGGGGAACCTGAGCACCCGGAGGAAACCCAAGCGAACACGTGGAGAACATGCAAACTCCACACAGAAACGCCAACTGATCCAGCCTGGGCTCGAACCAGGGATTAACTTGCTGTGAGGCGATCGTGCTACCCACTGCGTCACCATGACCCCCTAAAATTAAACACGTTTCTATGAATAAATACAAAACATATAGACCAGTATAAGAGACCTCTTTCAAAAGATTTGTAAAAATCGAACATACCTCAAACTTTTGAGCGGTAGAGTATGTCTCTGCACTATTAAATAATCAAGATTAGATTTAAAGCTGTCATAATTAAATAATAATTCAAAGTGTTTATGACAGCATTCCATGCACCTCCAGTTGTGCCAAAAAGTCTTTCAAACAGCAGCTGTAAATCCAAAGTGATTTCATAACCTGGAAATTACCACTGTAGGAGTAAATGAATAAATACAAGCTTAAATCTTTATGGTCTCTAAACATTACTTAATTTCAGAGTGCAGCTGAATCTTTGAACTGGTTCTGGACTGCTATTTAGCATCCAACTAGGCTAGTAGTTCCAACTCTTTCTCTCTCTGTCTCTCTCACCTCTCGTGTTGTGCCTGATGTGTTTCTCTGCTCTCCATATGGCAGCCAGAGAAAGCTGCTGCTGTTGCATCACTCAGCTCTGTATGAGAGGCTCTGGCACAGCATCAAAGACCTGCTCTGACGGTAAACACCACTGTAATATTCAGGCCTGTGAAACCCACCTGCCAGTGCTCCACAAACCACAGTAAAGACCTACACACGGGTCTGGAATCAGTGGGAAAGAATCCTGAGATGTGGTATAAAAGGAATTAGCATGACTCTCTCTGGCCTCAAGGGTCTCTTTTGATTTTTTTTATGTATATAAAAGGGGGGATTCCTCACATGGATCATGATTTTGGAATCTCCAGTGGCTCATGAAGATTTGAAAGTTCTGGCTCTCGTTAAAGCACACAATAAACCACCTAGTTCTAAATCTGTGCTTTTAAGATCTATATTAAAAGAAAGCTCACATAGGACCATATTTCAGTGAAAAACAAAATGAAAAATGAAGATGTCATCGTATCAGACATAAAAATTGAAATCTGCCCGCAGACATCAGTTCCGATGCTGAATGAGACAGCATCTCTGTGTCTAGCTGGAACAGCCACATCACTTACCCTGCAGACAGACATCTGGTTGGTTGTCAGGGTCCCAGTCTTGTCTGAACAGATAACGGAGGTGCATCCCAGCGTCTCCACCGAGGGCAGTGAACGGACAATGGCATTTTTCTTGGCCATGCGACGGGTGCCCAGTGCCAGACAGGTGGTGATGACAGCTGGCAAACCCTCAGGGATGGCTGCTACTGCCAAGGCCACAGCAATCTTGAAGTAGTAGATGGCACCTCGGATCCAGGACCCGCCGTGGACTGGGTCAGCAAAATGGCCAATGTTAATGACCCAGACGGCAATGCAGATGAGCGAGATGACCTTGGAGAGCTGTTGACCAAACTCATCCAGCTTCTGCTGCAGTGGGGTCTTCTCCTGCTCTGTTGCCGCCATCTGGTTACGGATCTTGCCGATTTCGGTGGAAACCCCAGTGGAGACGACGACACCGATTGCCCGGCCTGCAGCGATGTTTGTGCCCTTTCGGAAAACATGAGCAGATGCACAAATAAGCACGTACATTCTTAAATGGAACAAAGCCTCCAAAAAAGACCTTTCAGGTCTAAATTTACACTTTTGCAGTCTTGGAAACAACAACAGCAGCAGCATCACAAGTTCCTTCATCCCATATAATTTTATAAAATGCAGCTTGGAAAAACCATTGACTTGTGTGGAGCTGGCCATAATGTCATTAGGGACATTTTGCCCTAATAGGAAACTACATCTTTCATTACCACAATGTTATGGAAAATGCATAAAGCTGGACTATAAGTGCATGTGGGCGATATACAGTTTATTTGAAAAGACTAAAGAAGAAAACAGGCAGACTGCATTTACTATCACTCTCTAAGCCATAACGTCACCTGAGGTGTTCCCTATGCTCAGATGATGTTACAGCAAACTAAGTGGATTTAGAGCAGACAAATGCTTGCCTACTTAAGAGTGTCTCAGTGACTGCAAATGGACACAAACAGGAAGAGTATGTTAAGACTGAGTGCACGGACAGAATACTCAAGTCTTACTATATCCTACAGTAGGGTTGGGCAATTAATTGGAAAGTAATCGAAATCGTCATTCAGAAACTGTAATCGGTTAAATTTTTTAAGGTAAATTTTTTCAATAACTTTCCCTACCACATGTGGAGTCATGTGACCCAGCTCTGTTAAGGCTGATTTAAACGTCTGCATCGAATGCATGGGTATGGTCCGGTGCAGCCTTTGCACACACCTCTCAAAAAAACTTAACTACACGTCAACTACACATCACAAGTTTGCACTATGAAGATGCTTAGAAGCTGCACCAGAGATGCCTTGAGACGGCATATTTTCCATTACAATAAAATGTATTTATTATTTGGTAGTGGTGTATTGACTTTCATAGAAAGAAATTTTGTGTGTTAGTGTGATTTATTGAATTGGAGTTTATGTATCTGAGGAAACTCTGTCACAGTATTTAGTGCATTAGTTGCTTTGTTGTCATTACCTTTGTTTCCATCCACCTATTTTTATGCACATTTTGCATATGCGCATAAAAAACTGATGGAAACGCCAAAATGTACATTCATTTTGAAAATGCAGATAAAAAACATATACGGATAACTGAATAGGATAAACTTTATATTCAAAAAGAAAGGATGCACATAAACTGAGAACAAGTTTACCAAACAATTTCCAGTATGCGTATTAAAAAAGGTAATTTGATTTTGTTATAGGAGATCATGTGATGATAAAAATATGTGCGAATGGGAAAAAACCAGTGGCTGTGGACACTGTAAATCACCTGAAATCTTGTTTTGGTCATTCAAAAATTCTGTAACCGTTTCAGTGTTAGTGTTATTATATTATTAATTACCTCCAGAATCAAGAGCAACTGTGCTCCATGTCTGACGCCTTCAAATGCCACCTCACGTCTACTGCAAGTTATTTATTAAATGAAGAAAAGATTGACGCAGCTTCTCCTACTGCAGCAAATTTCATTTTTAAAGTGACATTTTTGTTCGCTTTGACTCGTTAGATGGACACGCTGCTTTAGTCGCACGGCTTTTACGTGTTAAAAGTTTTTGCGCATTAAGTTAATTTGTATTTTTGGATGGAAACATAGCTACTGCAACTGACCTCTGCCTGTTAACGAACTACTCTGTTGTTTGGCCCTTTTTGGATTTGTTTGCTGTTAATATTTGTACATTAGTAAGTATGGAGCCTGATGCCATTTTCTTTTGTACCTTCTTTTTATTGATTGTTTTTGTGGACAAGGGAGTTAGGTAATGAAGTGTATTTTCTTTTCTTTTCCTGAAAATAGTGAAGTTAGAGGGAATTTGAATTAAGCTTGTTTTGTTAATTTTTTTGGCCTGGTCAGCTTCTGAAGTTGAAAAAAAAAGACAAATTTTGTTTAGAAAAATGATTGTGTAAATAAAATCGCTATATACTTTCTTAAGCAGCATTGTGTGTGCAGTCTTCTCTTTCATATTGCATCCTTACCCCTAGACGGGGTGTAACACATAAAAATATCTGTTGACAGAAGATTCAAGTAATGCACTGCTTAAAATATTATCCACAGGATATATGTACAAGACTTATTTTATTTAGAAGAGATACTGCTTATTTTCTACTTTTAATGTGAAAAACATTGAAAATAATTAATGGTGGGCCGTTATCAGCGTTAAAGTGCGTTAACGCAAGACTTAAAAAAAAATATTGCCGTTAATCTAATCTCGAAGTTGAGTTGGGAGCTGGGTCTATTCTACGCAAGCTATGATGGCTTTGACCTGGATATTTTAGCGTGGATGTATACCTGACCGGTGAGCCGTCTGATAAAAAAGTGCCCTTCTGAATCAAATCAGCAAGACGCCCTTCTGGATCTTTCCCTTACTTCAAAGACACTACTGACTACTCTTACATGGACATCGGTAATCTAGTTATTTGCCTTAATATACAATAATATAATCAAGGTGTTTACATGAAATACTTTAGGTATGGGTTTCCTGTAATTTTGAGTGACTTTAGCTGCAGTTCAGCATGCCCCCGTGACAAACTGGGGTATTAGACGCAAATAATGAGTAAGGACTAGTGAGAGTGTTATAGACATGAATAACGCACGCTAAATGGAAAGAAAAAAACAAACGCATTTTGCGATGTGTGTGTGTATGTGTGTGTGTGTGTGGGGTCCTTTACTGACAGCCACGTGTGTCGGAAAATATGGCAAAAAAAAAGTCCTACATGACAGTAATAGTTTGATTGCGGTATTTACTCCAATAATGCCACTATTTATGCATACTCCATGTCTTAATTCCATTTCTGTTTAGTCCAGTTATGGCTTTAGTCGGATTAAGGTAATTAGTTTGAAGGAAGTAGTTTGAAGCATATGTAGGCCTAAAGTAAAAAAAAATCATGTTTAGCAGAATAAACAGTTAGTAAACACAAGTACATCGTATTGAACATAATTTATTTTCATTTCCAAGTACCATAGTAGACCAGTTTCTCAAGGAGTTTGTGATGCATTCTGGAAACCGGAAATAAGCCCCTAGTCTAATGCACCACCTGGCTTGAGAAACCCGTTCTTAAAGACTTACTTTTAGTCATTATTTGGGTAGCACACATGATCTGAATGCCTTCGGCAGAAATCAAATGATTAATTTTAATCTAGATTAATTCCAACATTACAGTGAAATTAATCTAGATTTTAAAAAATAATCTATCAGTGAACTATAAAGGCAAAATAGTTAAATGAATAAATTAAATAATCGTTTATCGTAATCAAGTTAAAACATTCAATTAATAAAAATTTTGGTTTTAGGCCAAATCGCCCAGCCATATCCTAATATATAATGCCCTTCTCCTGACAAAACTAAAGGTGGGTACTAGGGATGCTCCAATTGATCGGCCAGAGGATCGCTATCGCTGATAATCACATTTAAAGACTCAATGTGTACTCGCCGATCTCATGAACTGACCACAAATGTTTGTTTATGCGTTTACAAGTCGAAGAAGATGCACATGCGCACCTGGGTTATACAGTACATGCAGTGCAGCCGCTTCTGCATGTATTTAGGCCTTTTTTCTTATAAGAACTGAAAGTTCTGTGTTTTTGACAATATTGCAAGTTTACTAAAACCCAGCTGGAAGTATTAAATAAATTACTAAAAACTTTTTTAAATGATATTTTTAACATGAATATTTAATAATGTAACTTCTTGTAATTTACTTATTGCAAATAACAGTACTTTGTAGAACTATTTTCTTTTAGTAAGTAATGGATTTATAGATTTTCAACTTCTTATGCATCACATATGCACTCCAAAGTTTTTCTTGATTGACACATGTTGAATTCTTCCATTATCATTTGCAATGTTTCCAAACTGCCTTGTTAGTAAAGAAATTTTGCCATTTTTTAATCTGTGCTATTTATTATGTTCTGTAAAGCTAACCATGTTTAAACCTACAGTAAATGGTTAAAAGAGACGTGCTTAAGGGATTTTATGCAGCATCCTTCATTTATTCTCTTAAATATGGAGAGTTCTCCACTTAAGTATCATACTTAGAGCGAAAATGTACTTTATGCATTATAAAGCATGAAGCATCAGAATCTGTACTTGGTATATGTCGATCACCATGACAAGGTATCGGTACTTAGTATTGGCTACAAAAATTCTGATCGGAAAATCCCTAGTGGATACACTGAACATATTCATGAATAAACAATGCTAATATACACTTGACACATATTTCCTCTCCCAAAACAGGAAGTAAAATGCTTACAGAAAACAGCATGTTCTTTTTGTCTTGATTGACAGCTCTGGGATCTGGCACAGGATCAGTGTGCTTGATAACAGACACAGATTCACCTAAAAGCAAAATACACACAGAAGTGGTTTAAATAAAAGGATACTGAAAACGGAGAGGTGAAATGCAACACTGTTCATCTGAGATGTCCACACAGTACCTGTGAGGATGGACTGGTCTACCCTCAGGGTGGTGGATTTAATTGAGGTGATCCTGATATCTGCTGGCACCTTGTCTCCAACTAGAAAACAAAACCGGTTGAGAGTTGGTTCATCAAAAGTCAGACTCCAGTGCTGCTGATGAATGTGAGACAGGTCAAAAAAAAGTTTGTAGGACATATGCCAAAAGTGCCAAAACTGCAATCATAAACAGGAAATTAGACAGATTGCTGAACGGAAATCATTCAAGGCAGTTCTTGAACTCTTGCTTTCAAGGTAAACACTTAATTACTATAGATTGAAGCTGAGCTACTAGGGCACAAAGCCTGAAGCTACGTGAAAAAATGACTGAAACAAAAAAAAGACATTTAGAGAGAGCGCTAGCTGGTGCTGCTCTCTCTCTCTCCCTGAGACTGAAACACTGTTCGATACCTAGTTGATGAGAACACACAGAATGATCAATATTTGGTCCATGCACCATGTTTAGTCCAACAGAAAAAAGGGTTTTAATACAAAAGAAAAAAACAACAACAGGATGGAAAAGTTTGTAAGATGAGCCAAAATCAGTCAATATGTGTCATTTTCTTTTTGTCTTGCATGAGCAGCAGATATTGTGTGTCAGCATGACTTAATAAACCTTTTTTATCCTTCCAACCCAAGACATCAAGACAAAGCATCAATAAACATTATATATCACCCACGCTTAAGTGATCTACTAATATATTCACAGCTCACAGAAATGATGATACAAGTCCAGTGTATTAATATAAACAAAGATGTCTCGACATATACTGTATACTACACCTGCATGGAATCTAAATCTTCATATTTCCAGTGAAAGCTCCAGAGATTTTCATAGAACCCATGATACAACATTCTTGAAGACTACCAAGTTTTATTTATTTTTAAGTAGGCTGCATTTATTTGCTTAAATCTACAGCACATTTTTGTTAATTATTATTACAACTTCCAATTTCTATGTCTAGCTATAACCCTGCGGCTGGATTTATATAATGACCCACATATAAATCCTGGACCAGGATGAAGAAGCAGCAGGGGGACTTACTGGACATTTTACAGCAATTAGAGAGCCTTGGTGTCATAATTATACTCCATTTAAACCCTTGGGCTGAGCATGATGTGCCTAGGGGCAGCAAGACATGCAAGAGAGCAGCCACCCTTCCCATTAGTCTTTAACACATTGTTAGACAGATAGTGGGTGAGCGGTCCAGACAGTGTTAAAGCTAAAATGCTTCCTTTTTTGCTCTGAAGGTTAAAGATCAGACTCTTTACAGGACCCTAAAAACAGTTATATCGGCAGTAGAGCTGCATGCTTCTGGATGAATCTACAATCACAAAGATATTAAGATTGTGAATTTGAACTGAAGACTTAAGAAAATAATTAAGAAATTCTTACAAAAATCTTTCACTGCAATACATAAAAAAATAATTTGATAGATTTAAAAAAAAACAAAACAAATCTATTTAAATGAATGATTCAATGACTCACTAACATACTTCACTTGTAATTCTGGATGAATCTTTTTTAACAAATGATTCAATGACAAACACAATTTTTATCAGTCATTTGTTGCCATCTACTGGCATAACAAGGTAATTAATAAAATCTTCACCTAAACTAGTGTCAAGTCACTTTGAAAAGGTGCTCTTATGGGGCCGATCACACTGAACAAGTTTTGTTTCGTTGAGAGGCGTCTTTTTTAAATGATTTACTAACGGTCGTGAGAGTTTTGCACGCTGCTTATGCTCCCTGCATGCCTCGTCTTTTAACTGCTGCGCCTCGTGTTTTTGCCGTTGCATGCTGTGCGCTCACAGTTAAGTCAACTCTGAGCGAAGAAGCTCACTTGCGTCTTTTTCATTCTCCAATGCAATGAAAGCAGGGGCGGGATTTCCACTGAGGTGACAGAAGTGCTTGTGTTGTCAAGATGACTCTGGAGATTTTTAAAATGGAGGAGAGACTAGTAGTCGCTGGTTCCAGTTATCCAGAGCTGTATGACTTTACAAATCTTGAATATCACAATATTATTAAACATTACAATTATAACAATATCAACAGCAACACTTACGCACAATACGCAGCTGATTTGGTCATTGCCTGGTGACAAAAAAGTGCACCACACTTTTTTTTTTCTTGTCAACAGAAAGGCAGTGTGGTGCTCCTTACGTTTTTGAAACGTAAAAGCGTGTTGTGTGTGTTTGGCTCCCTTTTAAGTATTTTGATTGCTACTATCGTTATAATGCTTAGATCTGAACTCAAAAAATTTCTCCAGGTACTTTTGAAATAATGCGACTTTTTTAAACACATAAATATCAACACTGCCTAAAAACACTAAAGACTGAAACTGATCACAGAACTGAATATTCCACTGTGATTATACAGTACTTGTTAAATATTTAATAGACATGGCCAAATCATTGTCATGTAGGAATAACATTGTGTGGGTGTTTGAATCGAGATTTAAACAATTAATTGTGCAGTATGTATGTGTGTTTTGTTGCACAATCATTTGTTTTGTTAGTCACAATAGCAGGATCTGGCATAATACTGAGATGTACAGTAAAAGATCCCCTCTCCCCACCTCTCTCTCTTTTTTTCTTTTCTTTTTATTCCAACCCTTTGGACATGATTTCTCAGTCATGCAGTCTCTCTTCCTCCCACGTCACAGAAACAGCTCCTGGGGTCTCTGCTGAGGGAGACAACACCCCCATCAGGGGCTGCTGTGTGTGCGTGGGAGAGGGGATAGCGAGGGCACGGCGGGCGGGAACCTGTTCACGCTCCCAGAACGACAGACCTTCCTTTTCTCTTTCTTGGATTTTATCGCTCCCTCTCTCTCCCCCCTCAGCAATGTCTCCCACCCACACGGCCACATTTCGAATGGGTACTGAACCCATCTAAATGCTAATGTGAGCAGCTTTTCGCCATACCAAGCCAGAACAATGCAAAGTGAGCTAAATATACACAGACATTATGACAGTAGATGGCAAGCATCTGATAGCAGGAAACAGGCCGCCACGGACTTCGGGCATAAACTTGATTAGGGCGGGTGACGCATGCTTACTTGAACGGTGTAATAACAGAGGCTGGCGAGTTCAAGACATTTGCGAATACTAATCAAAACGGTCCCAGAGCCTGTGGGTATGACTAACAGATGATGGGGCTAAACTGAATTCATTTTAAAAACACAGACTCTTTGGTTCACCTTTACTCATCCTATTGAGACGGAGAAGAAAAAAAAAGTGTCTTTCCAAATCTCCAAGCTTTCTGTACCCGCCTATTCTAGTTCCTTCGATATTCTAATGAACTGAGAATGTTATTTTTGAGCCTCTGAAACAGCTAAGGGAAAGTTCCATTTCGGACGCTGTGATTACCACAATCATAACACTGGCACAATGCTAGGCTGACTGGAAATTACAAGTGTAAATAATCTATAAATATCTATAGTACTCATGCATGCAAAAGGCTGAATGATGTTTTCCAACCTCCAATTCTCTTGGTGGTGGTCCATGCCAAAAGTTCACATGGAATTGCCACTCACGAATGAAGGAGGTTGCAGCTAAGAGAAGGGAATGAATGCTGCGGGTCATATTTTTGGTTGCTTTGTTTTGAAAGATTTTTTTTTCTGTAGTTACCAATTTAAAGTTCTCACAAGTGCCTTTTTCCAACGTGCAATTATCATGCAACCTCTAGGGAAAGTGACAGGGCTTTTGGGTTGCATGTTTGTTTATGCATGTTTGCTAGTGCTTAGCAACAAGATTATGTCATCGGCACAGTGGGTTTAGACAGAAATCGAGAAATATTTCAGCAGACAATCCCGACAACATCTCCGACCTGCCAGTGCTTCCTTCCTACTGAACAGGACTTGTTAAATGCTACAACTCTAACCAATGAACTCAGCAGGAGCAGTTTGGAGTGTGTGTGAATGTGTCCACACCTCGTTAGTGGATTCTCATGGCTATAAACCTGGTGATGGATCTTAAACCACAGAACCATCTCCTTTTCCCCCATTGCCCATGATAATAAAAATACAGAAGATGCATAGAGTGCCAGTTGTTTCCACCCTCACAGACTTCTGGAGTGGAAACACCTCTAACTCTTATCCCACCGGAGCAATTCACCTTGTCTCGTTTTTGTTCAGCAAGCTGGGAAGTGCTCAAGGCCTCAGGAAAAGGGAAAATGACAAAAATCTCATTTGCAATCCAAAAATATCCATCAACGTGCCATTGGTGTTTGACTATACAGCAACATATGCCCTAGGGTGCCCTAGGATTTTCAATGTTATTGCTTCAGATACATTGACTTTTGCAGTCATTTATATTTTTAATGATGACATTTACATTTATAATGTGAAAAATTGTGCAAAATATTACATGGTAAATATTTAGACCATGTTAATTTGGCATTATGTTTACTTAGGTTTTGTGTCAACCTGAACCTCAATATAGATAACGTCAGAACTAGGCATGGGACCATAACCATTTTCAAGGTATACCGTAGTTTGGAATAGTTTGTATATGTGGTATATGTGCAATTTTTTTAATTTCCTTTTTTTATCCAAAGATTCCATTTTAAATTGTAGAGAAATTTGTTTTTTAATCTAATGAAGATAGCAGTAGTCAATGATTCATTTGAATTATTTAGGCTGACATGTTTACTTTATATTATAAATGTTTCTCAAAATAAATATATCGTCTGTGTCCAAAAATTGCCTACTACTCAGTAGATACTGCATTTGAATTTGCTACTCGACCAATAGAAAAGAATGTTCTATACATTATGAATGTGAGTAGTATGAGTGAAGCACGGACGTACTACAGATGCCATTTTGTCATTATCACGTGATTTACCCATTTCACTCCCATTCATGAATCCTCCCACAGTGCATCATGGTATAGCATAGCGTCCATCGGATGCGCACTTCAGAATCTCGCCGATGGTAGTAGTTCATCCGGGTACTTCTTGCATACTATTTTTTAAATTCTATGAATTTAGATTTGCTATTCGGCTTACATACTGTTTTTAATGTACAATACAGCTTGGAATTATGTGATTTCGGACAGCCATTGTGTTCAAAGAGGAAAAAAAAATCTTTTTTTTACCCAGATATTTAAAAAGAATACATTGTAGAGCAGTTTACAGAAAAAAAGTTTTGACGTTGGCGTTGTAGAATAAAATATTCAACTAGTGTTGAATTAGGTTTACAACAGACCTTATTTCACTTACCAAATGAAAATCCCAAATTATAATAATCTCATTAGAACTTTATCTGTTTTTTTTACCCAGATTCTGATGATCCGAATCCTGTTTTAGGAATACTATACAGTTCATTTCCTACATGAAAATAAAATTTGCTATTCTTTCTAGGTACATTTTTTCCAGTTTCCATTTCAGGTACAGTGCTCATCATTTTAATAATGAATATTTTTCTCCATTTCTCAGTGAATATAGGCTATGTATTTTGGTGCATTTAAACAAAACAGATTTATTAAACAGATATATTTATTAAAATAATATTTTAGTCACCAAACATATTCAGAAATTGAAAGATACAATAATACAAAGATACAATTAAATTCAAGCAAAATATTCCAAAAATAAATAACAGCCTACAAAATTTCAACTAAATTTGTAATTTTTTTTGCTTCTCTTGATTTTTCCTCTTCTAAAAATTTGTATTCAATATTTTTTCTACAATATATAAATTTGGTTATTTTTTTTTTAGGTTAGTTCAGATTTGGCTTCAGTACTGACTAATCTAATGTATATGTACAAATATAATATTGTATAGCTTCCTTCTTAAAATATGAATTTAAAAGAAAGATTTGTGAGGGGTGTACTTATATATGCTGAAAACTGCATCTCCACCCAAAACTATTTCTCATTGGTCCAAAATCCTAATTAACACACCACCGCTGTATGATAAAGTACACTAAAATATGGTGAGAACCATGATTTTTGCTTTCAGGAAGCACACGTACTGGATGCTGGAAACATCTGTACTGACAGTAATTCTGAGTTACTTCACATGTCTGCCAGTTTGACCTTGGCACAGGCGGGACTCTGGGGCCGGTTACCATGGTAATATGGCCCAGAGGTGTCAGGGGGTGAAGTCTGACAGTGTGCACGTCTGGCCGCTGGAATGTGGGCTTGTCAAGACAAAAGACCAAACGGCGCACCTAAACAAAGAGCCGCTTGTTACCACCGCGCTAAGACAGGTAATGTATCCCACATCTCATCCGCATCTCTTTAATTCCGCCTGTCTCTCTCTCTCTGCATCACGCTGCATTTATCTCTCCCTCCCGCTCATCTGTCTTTCACGCTTTCGCGCTCTCACACTGCTTTCTGCCTCCCTCACACATTCTGCATCTCTCCGTACACTCGCTCTCTCTCACTCCCTCCGCACCAGGCTCTTCGTGACTCCCTCTTTTTCACTCCCATTCACAAGCAAACGCAGCAATGTGCCTGCATCCTTGTATCTGAATGAATGCGGATGCTCTCAAACATGAATTGGAAAATCATGTGGTGTACCACAGGTATTACTTTACCATTCTTTTTGTTTTCATGGTGGAAAACAGATCCTCATTGTCATCTTCTCTCTTCTGCTACACACTTGGCTGATGCAGACTAGAGATCATTAGCAAGAAGGGGATTAAAGAAGCAAATGCTAACTACTGTGAAATGGTGACTCACTCATTCATTTTCTTATCGGCTTAGTTTATTAATCTGGGGTCGCCACAGCGGAATGAACCGCCAACTTATCCAGCATATGTTTTACGCAGCTGATACCCTTTAATCACTGGGAAACATCCAACACACACTCATTCACACACATACACTACGTATATTTTAGCTTACTTAATCCACTTACACCACATGTTTTTGGACTTGTGGGGGAAACCAGAGCACCCAGAGGAAACCCAGGCAAACATGGGAAGAACATGCAAACTCCACACAGAAATGGCAACTGACCTAGCCGGGGCTCGAACCAGTGACCTTCTTGCTGTGAGGTGATTGTGCTACCCACTGCAGCTACGTGGAGCCTGTGAAGCGGTGACTAGCACATTTAAATGTGTAGATATGATATGGTCAAGTCAAGAATGACAATGGGTCTATTTTTATCTCTGTGTCTGCATCAGCGTTGTGGAAAGTTACTTTTGAAAGTAGTGCATTACAATACTGAGTTTTTCCACCCAAAAAGTAATTAAGTGCATTACTCAGTTATAATACTTTTGAGTTACTTTTGCGTTACTTTTCCTTACCTGGCTGAGGCTTGATCTCTTTCAGAACTTGCAGGTGTTTTTCCACTTTTTTATAAAGAAGCTCTGCATATAACAATCCCCTACAGTACAGTATATAACCTACAGCTTTATTTTCCTTTAAAAAATGTAGGATAAAATGATATTTTGAGAACTTTCTGAGACTAGAGCTATGCATGCTATATATACAGATTAATGAAAGCATGTAATGTGTTTGCTAGTTTATATGTTTTGTTATTATTAGTTAAGTAAATTACTGTCCATTTAGATAAAAAATTACAATAAAGCCCAAGAGTACTAACAAGAAATGACATGACATGACTAAAATGACATGTCGTTTCCCAAAAGAGAAAAAAGCTTACTATATCACAAAAGGTAGGTGCTTCTACAGTAACGTTAAGACAGATGCTGCATCTCCTTAACAATAAAAGCAATAAACATTTATTTAGTTTATTCTAAACAATTGTTTTACCTGGAGAATGTGAACTGATGTCAATCATAGATGAAGGTGAGTTGCGGGTCTAGTGCTTTGCATATAGTTTTGTTAGTTGAGTTTTACTTACAAACAATCTATACTTACCAACAATCCATTTCTTTTCTTTGATGAGTTCAAAATAACAAGAATCCATTGCAAAAATGTCTCTGGCCTGCCATTGTTTCTGTTTCTGACTGTCTGTAGTGATGACGGGCAATTCACGAATGAATCGTTTGTTTTAACCAGATCTTCTAAGTGAACCGGTCGAACCAGTTCATTAAATTGAACAGAGTTGTCGTGAAACATACTGGATACCTCACTGACACGAAATAAACCCATATCCTGAGATGTTCCGTTACTAGAACAGTACTCTGACTCATCTGTTGTGAAAAAAGAGACCTGATGATGAACATGAGTGTGTGATTCAACTTGACTAAGGTCAAGCTAATTAAGAAAGGTAAAAAGTAACTTGTGTTATATTTTTCTTAAAAGTAACTGAAATAATATCACTTACTTTTTAAAAGTAATGTGTTATATTACTCAATACGGTGGAAAAGTAATATAATTGCATAATGTGGGTTACTTATAACACATTAAACCCCCAAACTGGTCTGCATATACTGTATATTGGCATGTGTGTATGTGAGGAAACAAGGACAAACCTGCGCTTACAAGGAAGTGAAAAACAGTGCGGCTGACAGTATAAAAAGAGAAGGCTATATATTTCAACAAGACGTGAGAGAGAAAAAGTAAAAGAGTGTACAATAATCAGGTTGGTATACAATGAACAGAATATGAGCACATTCAGGTTTTTTCCTGCATGTCTCTGCTTGCCAATCTCATAGTCACAGGAAAGTCACTTACGTAACACAGTCTGGGATATTCCTGCTCTGCTTTCAAGTTTTTGGCAAGAAGCCCACAAACACACACACACACACACACACACTGAAGGGCTCTCCTTCAGGGCAAAGAGCTGCAGTATAACGCACACAAACACACACTCTGGGCAGCCACACATACGCCAATAGGATGACTTGGGGAAAACGGCAGCCTGTGTTTGTGTGTTTTGGGTATGGCGAGAGGTGGAGATGACTGGAAGAAAGACAGAAAAAAAAGAAGCACCAGACCACCTCCGCTGAGTATTATACCTAACCTCTTGGGCAAATTTTCAGCAGAAACCTCCACAGGACACAAGCTGGAGGCTGCTGTTCTCCTTACACAAAGGATGAGACTGTGAGCAGACGAAGTTTAAATGGAGAGACAGAGAGTGAGAGAGAGTGCTGTAGGGGGAAACCCATGAGAAAGAACGGGACAACTAGAAAGAGGTCCAAACCTACCAGAAATCTCCACAATATCTCCGGGCACGATGTCTCGAGCTTTGATCCTCTGGACGGCCGTGCGGTTCATGCGGTAAACTTTGCCCATCTCTGGCTCGTACTCTTTTAGAGCTTCGATGGCATTCTCTGCATTTCGCTCCTGAGAACATACATCAATCCACACAAAGGGTATCAGCAAAAACACACAGTATATATTTAATCTGTATTATTTTTTCCAGCACTTTACAAGCAAGGCAAATTACATATTTACTGTACATTCATATACATACAGTACTCCGTCATATTATATCAGACTGTAGTATTCTAAAGCAAAAAATATATACGTATATTCTAAAGACAATTTTTGATGGTATGCTGGCCATACAATTTACTTTACTCACTAAAATATAATTTACTCATCTTAAATGTGTCATCTTTAATAATAATTTCATAATTTAGCTTAAAAGTTTAAAAAGTGTTAATATCCATGAATTTTGTTTGTAGATATTATCCAAAGGGAGCAGGACAAAAAGACAGCTAGATCAAGATCAAAACAGCACAGACTCCAGAGATTTCATTTTATGCAATAGCTATTGTATAAATAATTCATTTTTTTAACCCATTTAGGAAGAAACTACTATGACAGCAACACAATTACACTTTTATTTCAAAAAGCATTTTATTCAAAATCTAAGCACTTTAAAAACCTAAAAAACCTAAACTAAAATTGAAGCATTTTCAAGGATTTACACTAGTGTTGGTCCCTGTTTATGCCATTGTTCTATAAGGCAACAGGAGCCTGTAGAAAAAATTTCAAAATAAATAAATCAACTACTTCACAGTTTAATGTTCTGACATAAGTTGTAAAACAATGGAAAAATGGTAATAATAAATAATATAATATAATATAATATAATATAATATAATATAATATAATATAATATAATATAATATAATATAATATAATATAATATAATATAATATAATATAATATAATAGATTCCTCTGGGTGCTCCGGTTTCCCCCAAAGTCTAAAGAAATGCAGTATAGGTGAACTAAATAAGCTAAATTGGCCGTAGTGAAACCTAAATTGGCCGTAGAATGCAATTGTGTATGGGTGTTTCCAAGTGTTGGGTTGCGGCTGGAAGGGCATCACTGAGCTGAAAAGAAAATGAACAATATAATATAATATGGTATAATATGATATAATATAATATAATATAATATAATATAATATAATATAATATAATATAATATAATATAATATAATATAATATAATATAATATAATATAATATTTAATATCTAAGAGTGAGAGAATTAAAGCATGTTAAATGTTAGCACATAAATTGTAACATATTTTTGCTTGTTTGTCCTATTTCGTCCTCTGGAACTAAAATCTACATTATGACGAGTTCACACATTGACATGGCAAATGCCTTGAGTAATTGATGAAACATTAATAGCTCATAATTAGTCATGAATCTGCATGTCTTTTATTCTATGAAAACACGCTTTGTTTAATTGTTCATGACAGAATGCGTTGATTCATATGAGACATTTAAAAGTCTATACACCCAGAGACTTACACACAAAATTCATTAAATCTAACATTTAGGAAAGCATTTACAGCTCCTTTAAAACCTTAAAAGTTATTACAAATGCAACAGAGCATGCATACACATTTTTAGCCCAAGTAGATATGCAAATGACTGTCCATTTATTTGTGCATTCCATTATAGGAGTCACAGGCTGTAATGAACAGGATGTGCTGTATTTAACAAAAACCAAAAAAAACTTTAGAAATGCCATCCTGTGGCCAGTGGATTAAAGAAATGACTAGCAATCTTGCTATGGAGAAGCTGACATACACTGTTAAAGGAAAATTACAAGATTTTTTTTTATATAAAATATAGACCCCCATTCAACTCTTTATTAACCAGATGGACCATGCAACATTTTTTGATGTTTGAGCTTTCAAACTCTTGCGGCTGTCTTATTGTATTGTTCAGATGTCTTACATTCCAGCAACAGTTAGAAAATTTGTTTAACCAGAACACACCGGAAAGCTGTGAAATGCAAGGTACAAAAATATGTATTGAACATTGTTATTATTTATTTATTTGTTAGTTATGTACTGTTATTATTTAAATGTATGTACACATTTATTTCACATTTTTAACCATATGACTTTTACATTTTTTATGGTATTTTGTTCTGCATTTATAACAAAACCCAATAAATATATTTTGGGGAAAACAAAAAAACTTTTGTCAACTTTAAATCTTTTAACTAAATGAGAGCAAAATACAACTCTTTTGTTGACTGTCTGCCTGATTTTCATTCTCTTTAATAGACACAACTGAATTATTGCCAATTAGGAAGAAGTGTGCACATTTGAATAAAGAGCATGAACTTTAACAATTAGCCATGCAGCTCTAATAGACACTCAAATACACAGGCTTATGTTTGGGCCCTGCTATTGTGGTATGAATGTAATTACACAACACATCCTTATGTACACAGTAAAAAACAAACAAACCTGCAAACCCGATAATCATTTGTCATGGTTAGGAACAGACGACAGTAGATGCAGAAGTACATATAATACAGAACAAGCAGAGCTGCTGTCCTGACATTACTCATTGAGAAGATAGATATGACCATTTGTTGAATTTCTACATGGCCCCCCCACACACACCCACACCCACCTGCCAGACTCCAATGACTGCGTTGGCCACCAGAATGAGCAAGATGACAATAGGCTCCACGAAAGCTGTGGTGGACTCCTCCCCCTCCTCAAACAGTGCCAACACCTGATAAACAAACAGCAAATAAATTACTCCTGCCTTACATTCACAGAGTTCTGTTCAGGTTACTAAAGCATTCGAGTTTAAAAATAAAAATAAAAATAAAAATATATATATATATATATATATATATATATATATATATATATATATATATATATATATATATATATATATATATATATATATTTTTTTTTTTTTTTCTTTCTTTTTTTTGAGATTGCCTTGTTTCAGCTTTGCCTTCATAGGAATAAATTACAGTGAAATATTTTCACATGGAAAACAGTTCTTTTAACTTCATATTCAAAATATTACTGTTTTATTGTATTTCTAATGTAATAAATGCAGCCTTGGTGAGAGCTGGAAACTTCTGTTCCTGTATCTTAGATTTGGAAAAAAAGCTAAAAAAAAAAAAAAGGCTTAAAGGGCTAGTTTACCCAAAAATACCTCATCATTTATTCTCTGTCATATGGTTTTAAACCTTTATAAGTTTCTTTTGTTGAACATAAAAAAAGATATTTTAAAGAATTTTTTGTTTTTGTTTTAATGCTCGTTTCTTGCACCCTTTGATTTCCATAGTAGTAAAAAAATACTATGAAAATCAATGGGGGCCAGCTACCAGAATCTTTCAAAATATCTTCTGTTGTGTTCAACATAAGAGGGAAACTTAAATAGGTTCTGAACAAGTGAAGGGAGAGAAAATTATGATAGAATGTTCACTTTCTGATGAACAATGACTGTAAGGTGACATGCAAAGCAAAATATTAACTCTAGTTGACTCAAAAAAATTGCTGTTTATTCAAACAATTTAAAATAAGCGAAAACAACATAGGTCTTGGTTTTTAGAGCAATTGAAATGTTTTATGTACTATATATATTTACATTTTTAAAAAGTAATATCTTAACTTTATTTCTTCATGTTTTGAAGTCATCTTTCTCTTGTTTGTTCAAACTACTTATTTAAAATAATTTGAAAACCTAATTCTTAAGGGTTTTTTAGGACAACTTAATTGTTTTATATTTAATACACTTAAATAAAAAAGTAATAACTTTATTTCTTCATGTTTTTAAAGTCATCTTTCTGCTGTTTGCTTAAACTACTTATTTAAAATTATCTGAAAATACAATTCTTGGGTTTCTTAGGACAACAAAATGGTTTAATGTGTAATGAACTTACTTTTGGAAAAACTAATGAGTTAGTTTCTTCATGTTTTCAACTCATCTTAATATTGTTTGTTCAAACTACTTATTTATACTTATCTGAAAACACAATTCTTGAGTTTTTTAAGACAACTTAATTGTTTTATGTTAAATACACTTATATTTTTAAAAAGTATGTTAACCTTATTTCTTTATGTTTTAAAAACTCAAATATATGCTGTTTGCTTAAACTACTTATTAAAATGATTTGAAAACAATTCTTGAGTTTCTTAGGACAACGTAATTGTTTTATGTTTAATAAACTTACATCTGCAAAAACTGAATTAAGTAAACTTCTTCATGCTGTATCGACACAAATCGATTGTGTTGAACACAGCAGTGTAAACTACTGAAAACAGATTAATTGTGTTGATAAGCCTGGGGTGCTGACAGTACCAATTTTAAGCATACAGTACAGTGAAAATAAACATCAGACTCTGTCTGTTATGAAAGAAGATACAGCATAAATCCACACCCATTACAAATATTCCAATGAAATCATGCCATCATGTACAGGTTCATGCCCCGGGCTGATTTGTGGGAGTTCTGGGTGGGAGGTATTTTCAGAAAGACCTGGAGTTACCTCAGAAGGTTAAAGACGTCCCTGAAATATGCATGGTAAGGAAAATATAGAGCATACATAAAAATGAAATGGAACGCAACAGCAAAGTTCATTACTTTGTGACAGGAATCCTCTTTTTACCTTCACATCAGATACTTAAACTCCTAAAAATGTTTGGAGTGAGTTGACCTCAAATATTAGAAGTTTTGAATTTTTTAAAGTAAAATATTTGTTCTGTTTGACTGCAAACTAGGAGGTGTGCTATATTTATCATCTACAATAATATTGTAATGATATTCAAGCAGATATTATTGCATCAAGCGCTTTTCATAAAAACAGAAAACAAAAATATATAATTATATTTATAAGAAGTTATATATATTTATAAGTGATATTTTTGATATTATAAAAAAATAACACAAGCCTGAACATTGTTTGGAGTGCTAAATATGAAGAAAATTCCTATGCTACAGTATGCTGTTCACTGCAAAAAATAAAAAAAATATATATAAAAAAAATATATATATATCTTACCTAGATTGTGTCTTGTTTTGATTAAAATGTCTAAAATAAATGTAATCAATAAGAACTTCTTAGACAAGCAAAAAATATTGTCTTGTTTTTAGAAATAATCTCAAAATTAAGTGAGTTTGTTCTTTAAAAAAGGCTAATTGATCTGTCAATGAGTTAAGCAAAACAATCAGATTTTTAAAAATTTTTTGCTTACCCCATTGGCAGATTATTTTCCTTGCCAAAAAAAAAAAAACTAGCCAGAGCAGTTCCATTGTTTCATTCTTGAATGAATCTGTTCAGGAGAAGGATTTGTAAAAGAACTTCAATGAGTCATTAATAAAGACAGTCATTTTGTAAATAAAGCAGCCATTTTAAATTGAACTCTTTTGTTGAACAGCTCAATGAATCGCTTACATTATTTTAATCTCTGACAGCCATTCAACAAATTAGCATTTAATTGTCCCTTACTAAAGAATCCCCGAAAATGCACATATAATATTTTGTGGTGATTCACAGTATATTAGCGCTGGTCAATAAATTCAACTAAAAGTCTGATAAATCAAGAACCACTTGAGATGTGCTTCTGCAAATTAGGACTGGTGCTTTCAACATGACATAGCAGACACACTCTGTAGACTTCAGATCTACAATTTTTAAATATGTTTTTTTTTTTTTTTTGCTGCTGTTATGGGCTTTAAAATTAAATCAGCGGTCCTTTACATTTGTTTGCATTTTGATTTTGTAATTGTAAATATCAATAGTTTTTGGTCTATAGCTTAGTAATTGATGTCTCTATATAAAGTGTTATCATACCAGCCAAAATGTACATATCAATCCATATCTTTTGCTTGAGCTTGAGTGATGTCCAAAGATCTCTTTCATATCACGTATTCACACAGGCTTTCTCTGCAGCCATTTAATTCTAAGCAACTTAGATACAGATCAACCTTAGAGCGGTCTGTCTTTAACCTTTCATTACAGACTGATGGGTCCAATAGAGAGGCTTCTTTAAGTCACTGAGCAACCGTGAAATAAGATGGGCAGGCGAATGAGAGGGGGCTGAATGAAGAGAGCAAAAAATGGTCAAAAAGGCAGAATGTAAAAGTGATGAAGAGCAAAAAGGAGTCCATAAAACAAAAGGAGTGGAAAGATGACAATTACTGAAATATTGAGGAGAGCCACACAGATGAAGGGCTTAGAGTTTAGATCACAGAGCTCAGCTAAATCCTGTCAAGTCATTGCTCTGGGCGGCTTGTCTGACTGAGGTCTATTCACTCATAAATATCAGTAGACTGTGGATCTTCTCTGTGCTCCCTTAACCTTTACACTTCAAAAAGAACACAAACAGACTGGTTACTGCTCCACAATGGCCAATTCACCAAAAAATGCTAAATCAAATGGTGGTTTGGTGCACACACAGAGAGAGAACTTTTGGATCTATACATTAAAAGCAACTAGATTTCCAGGCTTAAATGGTGAATTAGATTTTTCTTCTTTTTTGTAAATTTTTTCTCTTATTTTATATGATCTACATACTTTCATTTACTATTGTTGAATATGTATTTATGTATGTATTTGTATGTGTATGTGTATGTACGAATGTATTTCTGTGTGTATGTGGGTGACATGGTGGCGCAGTGGATAGCACTATCGCCTCACAGCAAAAAAGTTGCTGGTTCGAACCCCAGCAGGGTCACTTGGCATTTCTGTGTGGAGTTTGCATGTTCTCCCCATGTTCGCATGAATTTCCACCAGGTTCCTCCAACCCAACACTGGGTTGCTGCTGGAAGGGCATCTGCGGCGTAAAACTCATGCTGGATAAGTTGGCGGTTCATTCCCTTGTGGCGAACCCCGAGTTCTCCAAGTATATGTGTGGGTTTCCTCCGGGTGCTCCAGTTTCCCCCACAGTCCAAAGCCATGCTATATATGAATTTAATTAACTAAATTGTCCGTGGTGTATTTCTGTGAATGTGTGTATGGGTATTTCCCAATACTGGGTTGCAGCTGGAAGGACATACGCTATATAAATGGCAGTTCATTCTGCTGTGGCGACCTCTGAAATAGAGACTAAGCCGAAGAAAAATGAATGAATGATGAAAAAACAAACTAAAAACTAAACTGCTCTGCTGGGTTTTTTTTCAAATCGATCTTCGCAGGCCTACTGTTATCCATTTAAATACAGGAAGTTTATCCATTGTTCAGATGACCTTTTCTCTGATGACATGCAGTGTTCGGCTTGAGTCTCAAGCTTGGAAGATTCTCATTTTATACGGAGGCCTAACAGAAATTATGTCAATGCCATTATAGTGATGTACACTCTGCTGAAGCCGTCACTGATACTGCACAGAGTGCTGTACGGCAGGAATGTGTGGACAAGATAGGGAAAAAAAAAAAAAACTGATGAAATGAAAGAATGAAAAATGAGAAATGACAGAGAAGGAATGAAAAACTCATTAAGACTGAAGAAGCAATGCAGCTAGAAAATCTAAAATGAACTCAATTGAAAATGGGCGAGCATTCCTGGAGTCTTGGGACGGGCAGTCGCATGGCTGCACATGCAGATCTGTTTGTTCCCAACCAATAGCTTTTATTCCCAGCACATGCTGTTCTGAGATGAGTCAGGCTATCATACCCTCATAACACTTGTTTCAAAAGCACAAAAATAAATAAAAAACACTACATTTTTTAATGTCTTTGCGGCTCCCCCGTCGCTTAGATACTGGCGACTTTGTTCTCATAACATGCAAAAAGTCAGGAAAGCTGAATGCTTAAAGATTTTAATATATTCAAAAAGGCACACAAATGAGTTCAAAGACCGGGCTGATCTCCCCGGAGTATTTCCATTGCACCACTGCATTTGTCCAGCCCACAAACACACTCTCACAAGCTGCTTTCTGGGAGGTCTAATGCAATATTTTTATCAGTTTTGAGTGCTCCGCAGGATTCCAGCGGTTGGAAGACTTGCTCGCCTTATAGAATTTAACTACGGTTCAGACAAACACACAAAAAAGGATGGATGAAAGACACAATGATAGATGACATGAACAGAGCTCCCAAAGCTTGGGGAAGACTCTAAACGCAGATGTATGGAGACAAAGAGCATGAACACAAAGAGCAGAGCAGTTCATGTGTGTGTTTTTGTGAGTCCCTGACTGTTCGTTGGTTTGCAATATGTTATATTCCTCTTACAGAGCGGCAGGGGGCTGGAGAGGCTCGACCGTGGCCCCTGTTGTTTCTTGAAGTCAGACGGAAAGTTCATAAAAAGGTAAATTCATAAAAGCCAATAAGAAAAACAGACGGTGCTCACCAGTTTAACAAGTCAGCCTGTTGGAAAGTCTGGAGTCCTGCTCAGCAGAACCACAGCACAATCATTACGTCACAGCGAGAGGATTGTTTATCTGCTGTATTCTACACACTCCAAACTTTTGAATGGTAATGTACATGTTTAATGAAATATATTTGTTGTCAGTACCAAAAAAGAATGCATTAAATTGGTCAAGTGACAGTATAGACATGCATAATGGTAATGTTTTATGAAAGAACCAGTGTTTCCCCAACCATAATATTAGCAGGGCGCCCTGCCTTCCCAACGGCTTTCCTCGCCCCCCTTGAAGTCAAGTTAATTGTATTTTATATATAGCGCCAGGTCACAACTTCTTTTTAAAAAACAAGCTAAATAGCCATATGTAATATCTTATTTACACAACAGCATGTGATTTCTGCATAGCCTACAGCAGCTACAACACAGGCAAATGATAGGTGGTTGAACCATACTGTAATGCTTCTTTTCAAAGTATAACTCCTCTACCAGAAATACTATTTGTGAGCAATTTCAGCGTTATGGATGTGTCATTTGTAGTAAAATCTCAAAACATAAATTCACAAAGAAAGTATATGTTAACATTAAATTGAAACATCGGTTTATATTTTCCAAAACAACAAAACAGAGTTATGGGAGTAGAAAAATATCAATCTGTAAAAAAAATATATATTTTAAATGATGGAACATACACCTGCGTTATGGATGTGATGAACAAGGTTAGTGAGTTTACAGTATTCAAAATAATTTGTAGAAATATTTTATTTTATATTAGAAATATATTGTTTTGTGAATTAAACTGCACAACCAAAAACAAATACTGCTAATCAAAAGGATAAGAGTCGGCTCTCTATAGAACAAAAACAATTGATTTTATGTTATTTTACATTTTTTTTTTGCATTTATGAGGTAAAATCTCTGTTATGGATGTGACAGATGTGAAATTGGCACTTGTGTGATCTTGGTAAATCAAATGGAATAGTTTGAAAACATTGACAGAAACATTTTGGCGTATTTTTATAGTACTGTAAAATACTTGCTTACACAAAAAACACAGAAATGGTTTTGCTACTTGGCAAAAACTTACTTTTTTCATGTCAAGGTTGACATTTGCATGGAATTGCTCTTATTCTAATAAATAAATTATTCAAAATATGTGTAACTTCTAAACAGAGTTTTTAGAATTTACAGCTAACTTCTCGGGAAGGATTTTAGTGAGCTGAGAAAGTAAGACGGCTGTAAGGCTGTCAGCATAAACTCGAAGATGATTTCATTTCATCCTGTTTGCTCCTCGTCTCGCACCCCTTTTTTCTGCATCTTGATGGTTGCATTTTTAAGACCATGTGTGAATCTAAAAAAAAGTTGCTCTGCTCTGTTCTGTTGTGCTTCATCACTTTATAATGTGTCCTTTATAGGGATGCTCTGATCAGTATTTTTGCAGCCGATACCAAGCACCGATTCCTTGTCATGGTGATTGGCTGATGCAAAGTACTGATTCTGATGCTTCATGCTTTATAATGAAAATTAATGAAGAATGTTCCAGATAATCCCTGAAACATGTCTCTTATAACCATTTACTGTGGACATGTCATGGCCAGAAACAGCTTTACAGAACAAAATAGATAAAACAGATAAAAAATTGGTAACAAAAATTATTGAAAACGCAATTTAGAAACATTGCAAATGATGGAATAATCATTTAACATGTGCGCACATGCGTCTGTCTGTAAAATTGTAAACAAACACTTGCGATTGGTTCATGAGATCAGAGAGATTGGGAAGTACTAATCAAGTCATAAAATGTGATTATCGGCCGATACCGATCTCCAGCGAATTGATCGGAGCATTACTGTTAATGTGCCATAGGTCTGGTAGATGAGACCCTAAATCATGTTATACCTGTTATACCTTTATCTTAATAGAGCAGATAATAACAAAACTACCTAAATTAAAGACTTGCACCTAATTTGATATAGAAACAAATACTGTACAATTGATAAACTTTCCGAGATCTACTGAATCTGCAGAGACTGCTGACAGCACATGAAATGTCTTGGAGTTTGTTGACAGGGTTTATTTACAAAGGCGCTTTAACTTCTTCACCCCATCGATTTACCTGCGTTCTCTGGTGGTGAGCACCAAGGTAAATGACTTTAAGCCACACAAATGAGTCCAGGTGAAGGTTTTACATATATCATTTGGCTACACAGACAGACTTTTAAAATTGAAAAGGGAAGATTAAAACTCTCTCTCTTCCGTGCTCTGATCATTGACAATCATTTAGTGAAATTTGAGGTTATAGTTCACCAAAATGCAAACTCGACATGACAGATGATCTTAGCGTTTCATTCACTCTCAAGCTCTGCATTACCTCACCGACATCATTACCTATACCTGCTATAAAGCGTGTGGTGGGGTCTGGCTGCCATAGTGTTTATTTTGATGGAAATTAAACAACTTTTCTGTTAAGAAGAAAGAAAGTTACTTACAAAAGACACACAGGCTGCCAGCAGCAGAATCCTCACCAGGAGGTCCTCAAACTGCTCCACCACCAACTCCCACAGAGATTTACCTGGCAGAGAGAAAGAGACAAAACAATGGCTATGTTTACATGGACACCAGTAATCTAATTATTTGCCTTAATCTGAATGAGACAATAATATGATTAAGGTGTTTACATGAGTTGCTTTTTGAATGTTCCTTTCATGATCCCGTTTTACATGTTATAGTACATAATTCCATTAACATTGAGTCAATACGCTATCCACGTTTCCTCCGGAGTTTCATGTAATTTTGGGTGTTTTATTTTTGATTTGTCGACTTTAACTGCAGTTTGGGACTTTCACTTTCATTTAGAAACATTTCAAGCATGCCCCTGTGACAAATGAGATATTGGATGTGAGTAGAAACTGCTGGAGGAGTGCACTTTTAATGAAATTCGATACTGCACACCGTATAGAGAAAAAAACCCTCTGCATTTCGCGATGAGGGTGTCTGCAGTCCTTTACTGACTTAGTAGGTGCAGATAATAGTGTCAAACAGTATCTATTGATGTGTCTTTATTAAAACAATCACCCCAGGGGTCGCAATCAAATGTAACATATTTTTTTAATGTTGTTTTTTTAAATGCAAGAATTAATGGGTATTTTTTCTTCCGTAGGTTAAAGAATAGTTTAGTCTAATAGTTTAATGAACTGGCATAGGGAGAATACACAGAGCACATGATGCATATTCAGGTTTCGGCAGGATTCTTCAAGTCAAATTTAAGACTTTTTAAGACCCTTTTAAGACCATCATGAATTAAATTTTGGACTTATACAGAGCTAAACTTTAAGATTTTTTTTTTCTAATGGGCCAGTTACTTCTGCAAATAGTTTTTGTATTAATGGAAGATCACTTAAAGGGATGAGTTGCTTTAGTTTTCTATCCTTTATTAGGGAATTTAACTTGCAGAATTTGCAGTAAAAGTATCAATTGTGAATTGTCTCTTTTTGCAATAAAAACTTAAAATATATAATTTTAAAAAGTTTATATGGATTATTGGTGATTGGGTGTTGGCTCGATTGGGTAGCTTTACTTGGACATAAGAAAATTAAGACCTGTTTAAAATGATTTAAGACCGACAACCCAATATTTCAGTCAATTTAAGACTTTTTAAGGCCAAAAATTTAGCTTTTAAAATTTAGGACATTTTAAGACCTTGAGGATCCCCTGATATTTCATCAAGTTTGTACAACTACAGTGTTATTTTTTTTTACATTAAATGTTGACTGAGTTCAAAGTTCCGTAATAGAGATCTGCATTCCAGTGGCTATACCGCTGGAGCTGCGGGACCCGACCAGATTTCTTGCAGCGCGGGAATACATTTTCAAATAAAGCACGGGAGCGGTCGGTAACTGGTGTAATTTTGGACAGGAACGGGCGGTCTAACAATATCGCTCCCGAGCACGCGTATGTGTGAATTTACCTTGTTTGTTGCTGTCTATGTTTGTGTGTGTCTGAGGAGAGAGAGCTTTGTGCTGTGTGTGTGTGTGTGTGTGTGTGTGTGTATGAGAGAGAGAGAGAGAGAGAGTGATGCTGTCTGTGTGTGTGTCACTTGCTTGGTGCTTATGTGTGTGTGTGTTTATACAGACAGCTTGTTATGGGCTGCCTGGACTCTGTATAGCTGGGTGGTTTTCGGTTTTGTTTTTACCCCGCTCTTTAGCGGGAACTGACGCAGCATGTAGAAAACAGGGCGGGTCTGGCAGCGGGACAACAAATGCTGAATATAAGCAGGAGCGGTCGGGTTCAGACTAAAACCTGGCGGGAGCGGGATTCAAAATTAGTCCCATGCAGATCTCTATTCAGTAATGCAATTTAAAAGTGCAAATAATTGAAAACCTGTGAATCTGAAAATACAGGAAACTGAATTATTAGATATTTTTGGTCAAAACTAAACAAGCCTTTGTTTTATAAACAGAACGACAAACTACTGAACATGGCAAACCAACAGATGCTCAGACTGTTAGAATGTATGTGTGGAGAATAAAATGCATCTGCGACCTTAATCAAGAACAAAACGTTTGTATCATTCCAACACACTTATGATCATGCATGCTACTTTAAAAGGCTATGCGCTGAACTGTGCATGTACGCTAAATATGCACAAAATTATATATACTGTACTTTAGTAGACCACAAAGTTGATATGTCAAAGTTAACAGAATGTCTACAGGGGACCATCAAAATAAAGTGTAACCCATTAAATGCAGTGCATGTGTGTATATGCCAAGTCTTAAAGTTTATCTCTTTCTAGTAAAAACAGAAAGACGGAGGCTGTGCTAACGGTGCAACTCATAAAGAGAGAGTGGTAACAACATGATGGAAAGATCAATATTTACCTTCTTCGGCTGGGAGCTCTGTCAGTCAAAACACAGCGAGGCAATCCGTAGTGGAATGAGAGGCAGGGTATGTAGAAGAGAGAGAGAAAGAGAGAATAAAACAGAGGGTATTCTGTTAGAAATGACATACAGATAAATTTGTGTTGTTTCATTTATATTCACAGCTATGTAGGTGTTCTGCCTGAATGTTAAATACACAGAGACTGTAAGAATGCAGATTAGCATAAAGGCAATTATTGATTTAGGATTAGACGACTGCTTGCTGCAGAATAGATAAGAACACCTATTTGCGGTACCTGAAAAAAATTGTCCTACACACTGCAGAAATAAACTGTAATAACTTTGCTGTCATCGAACAAACAGTTAAAAGTTAATCTTTAAAACTGGAAAGATTTAAACAAGGCTGCTAAATGTAATATTTAATGTTGAGCAGTTAAAGTAGCAACATATATACTATACTGCAAATTGCAAGATTTATCAAAGTAAAACAAATTATTCAAGATGGAGGCTCATCAGTTGTTGTAATAAAATGGATGGGATTTAAAATAAAAAAATATATAGGAGAATTCGGCATTAATCAACAGCATTCATTAGGACAGAAGTGAATGGATTAGGAATATGGGGTTAGAGTTGTTTAGTATTTTATTATACCAGGGGAGAATAATAAAATGAGACTATGCCAAATAACATAAGATATATACAGTAAGATGAATCTAAAAAATACATAGGGTAAAATTCAATTAATTGTAAACTTAATTGCAAATATTTATCAAAACAACCCATTGTTTTGTACCATAAGGTCTCTAAATGCAGTTGTAAAAATGATAACTTGGATTATAACTTGGTTGACATTTACAAACTTAAAAAATTATCAAAGTATAGAAAAACCAATCATTAAAGCAAATTACACACGCGCTCAAAATAAATTTTTTACAGCTTGTTCGAACTACTTCTATAAAATGAGAATATACAATACAATTATTGAGATTTGTTTGGGAAAGCTGAACAGTTTTATGCTCAATCCACTTAAATTTTGAAGTTAACTGTCAGAGTTGTGTCTTAGGTTTGTTTAAGTCTTAGCTTTGTGACAGAACTCTGACACTCTATTCCAACACAAAATGCTTAATTTAACTTAATGGTTTACAAATTTAGTGGACTGAACATAAAACAATTAAATTGGCCAAAGAAATGACAAGAACTGTGTTATTTCATCTCATTTTTAAAAATTAGTTTGAAAAAGCACCATTTTTTGAGTGTATTTGTCATTTGTGTGGGGCATGGCATTCGGGAGTTCAGTGGTTACAGCTTTGTGTCAGGATCTCATGCTCCATGTCTGTTTATCTGCTCTGTTTGTTTTTTTGTTATTTTGCTTTTGTCTGACATTCTTGTTTATGTCTTTGTATGTGGTTTGTGTTTGAGGCTGCGTGCTCATGTCAGTTTCACATGGTTCTTGTTTATTGGCAGTGTGCTATGTTTTGTGTTAGTGCGTGGCCATGTGCTCACTTATTAGTCAGACCCCGTCCATTTGTTACCTGTTCATTTTGTTAAATTGCCTCACCTGTCCTCCTCATTTGGGCTTTGTCTGCTCCTCTATTTATTCTTCCAGTGTGCTATTGTCTCTTGCTGACTCATTTGTGTTATGTGATGTTTGATTCCTGTTTTTCTTCCTGGTTTGGTTTACTTAAAATGACTAATTACTAGGGCCAGGCAGAATCTGCTGATATTTTTTGCTATTTCTGCAGACAATTTTGTAAAACAAATTTGTGGATTTATGTGGAATGATTTTAGAAGTATTATAACTAAAACTCTAATATATCAAATAAAAAAATTAAATTAGGGAAATGAATTTAAAAACCGAATAAATATACATTTACAAATAGTAAATAAAAAATAAAAAAAGTAAATACATAGACTCAATGATGGGCTAAAAATCTGCAGATTTCCGCGTGGGCCTACTGATTACCCTACCATAGGTTTTTTGTTTAACCCAGGCTGTTCTCGGGGCTCTGTGTCCATTTTATGTTATTGTTTTTTTGTTCGTTTTATTGTTTGTTCTTAATTAATTAAGTTTATTTTTATTGCAGATCTGCATCTGTGTTCTGTCCTTACACCTGACATTAACTGAATTGATTTGTGTTGGAACAATATGAATTAATTGTGGAACCCTGCATTTTTTACAGCGTAACATTATACTGTAAAGTATGAGAAATACATTTTCTTTATTATTTTCATGTTATTTAGGGCATGGTAAATGGATGAAAACAAATTCTATAGAATTTTGTCATATTTGTCATTTGCTGGCAGTTGTTCTAGAGTGTAACACTAATTTGAGGCAATATTTCGTTCAGTAAATATTACATTACAATGTTTGATTTCTAAATTTAAAATTTTCAGCTTTTATTTTGACAAAGCACAGATGACAAGATGCCACAGCAGAATAAACCACCAACTTATCCAGCACATGTTCTATGAAGTGGATGCCCTTCCAGCTGCAAACATCCATACACTCTCATTCACACTCATACACTATGGACAATTTAGCCTACCCAATTTACCTGTAGTGTATGTCTTAGGACTGTGGGGGAATCCAGTGCACCCAGAGGAAACACACACGAACACGGGGAGAATGTGCAAACTACACACAGAAATACCAGCTGACCCAGCCAAGGCTCTAACCAGCGACCTTATTGCTGTGAGGTGACAGCACTATCCACTGCGCCACCGTAAGATGAAAATTATCCACCATAAATATAATTATAAGACACAAACCCTTTCAATTTAACACAATCAAATCCATTCAACATGATGTGGGCTTCTTTGAGCTTCCATAGTGATATTTAATAAAAACCACAGCAGGTACATCAGAAAACGTCTTGCTATATATAAAGCCCAACCATTACACACACACACGAATATATATCATCTGTGGTGGATAAATGTACAGATGGACCACCGACTGCGATGGCATTTGCCTACTGCATGTGCTTCCTGTGAAAGAGGGACAGTTTCATGATGAAACCGACATTTCTGGCATTGTGCACGAGTCATAAGACATAGATGCGCGCTGTGGCCTACACACTGCCATTTAGTCACTTCTAGAAGCTTCTCCAGTCAGAGCGAGTGGGAGCCCAAGAGCATGTGGAGAGTGTGGGAGGAGCTTCACACACACATACTGTACACACACACACACACACAAACACATCATAATTACATCACAGATGCCCTCTTTGTTGAAGCTCTACTCTGAAATCTTAAGGATTTGCAGTAGTAGTGTGAGGGGGTGAAAGAAGCCTCATTAATGAGCAATTTACACCTTCGCTGCTTATTACGGCTCACTTTTAGAGCATCTGACTATCAAGGGCTTTCATTAACTTACTGATACTGCTTAACAAAAGGTACACAGACATGAACAGGAACAGTTTGTTTCTGGGAGAGCGTTCATGAATGGACCAAAGAGAAAGCACAATGGAAAATCCTTGGAGCCGACCCAAAAGATAGTGAGAGAAAATACAGGGTGTTCCTGAATTCCAGCAACCGTGTGTTTATGTGTGTGTGCTCGGGTCAAGCGTTGTGCAGACACTATCGGGAGTTTCCCTGTTGTTCCGCTTAGAAGGAAAGCCTGCACGCATATTAATTCTAATACACAAGAAAATGTCCTTTGTGTCTGGCTTGGAGTTTTAGAAAGAACGCTGCTAAACTAGTAATCATACTTGTTGGGTTTACTCTTTACAAAAACCATCTCAAACGATCAAATAAACAGATATTTTGAAAAGTATTCAAAAGGGCTGCATGAATAATTGAAAAAAGATCACAATCTCAATCCCACACAATCCTAATCCAGCATCTCTACGATTCAGCCAATTATATTTACAAGTTCGAGAGTATTAAGGATAACGTTCGAGGTTACGGAAGTAACCCTTCGTTCCCCGAGGAGGGGAACGGAAGTGCCATGAAATGGGAGGATTCGGATCAGAAGCCGCTTGTCTGGAGAGTATTGAACGGGCCAATGAATGAAATTAATTGGCAGCGTAAGCTTGCGCAGGTGTGCGGCATCTGCAATTATCTCAGCATATAAGCACACCTGAAGCCAGCAGACGCCATCCTTTTAAGCTGAAGAGACTTTCAAACAGCTAAGGGACAGTCATTATGGCGACGGAGTATGGCACTTCCGTTCCCCTCCTCGGGGAACGAAGGGTTACTTCCGTAACCTCGACGTTCCCCTTCGGTTGGGGAACTTCAGTGCCATGAAATGGGAGAAGTATGGAAAGCGCCATAATGACTGCACCTTACCAACACCCCCGATGAGGAGATAGTCAAGCAAGCGTGACGCACCCACATCATGGGGGGCGCGGTCCTCCAACGTGTCCCTGGCCCTAATTTATCCTACTTCAACAGAAGTTTTACGGATTTAGATATATTTTTGGGAAGTCGTGAGCATCTAGATAATTCTAGGAAATACGACAGTACGTTGGGAAGCGTGCAATCCCGATAGGGAGGACGCTGCGGAGGCCATCCGTTACCCAAGGGGGGGATAGATGGCAGAATTTACATATGGACTAGCCCTAAAAAAGGGGGAGTACGCATAGCAAAAGAGTGGTTAGCGGAGAGGGAAGACACGGGTCCGCCCAGGGGGGGGACTTAACCGTGGCGGAATAAGCATATGGGATCGCCTAGTGGGGATCACGCATAGCAGGCACCTATACCCAAAACGCGGGCTGACCAGCGGGCAGACCTGCAACGTAGTGGGCCAGCAAGTGACTCCTCCGCTGAGTCAGTGCTGGGGGCCACGGAGGAATCTGCAGGGCTCACCTGACGAGGAACTTTACTGACAGATAAAAAGGCGCACGTACCTCCGTGTTAAGGAGAATGGCGCAGCAAGCGTGTTTCAACACCCTACCGAGTTGTCTCCTCAATCACCAAAGGGTTACCTAATACCCTTGAGGAAACCGGCTCCACTCGCAGATTGAAAAACCTTGCAAATGTGTTGGGTGTCGCCCAGCCCGCAGCTCTACAGATGT